GAAGTACTCTCTCTCTCTCTCTCTCTCTCTCTCTCTCTCTCTCTCTCTCTACCAATAGAAACACCACAACCACAAAGTCAACACCGGTTTGGTTGGTGTGCAGTGTTACCGTGATGGGTAATGAATCTTTTGGAATCGGAACACCACAACACAAGCATTTGCATGTGGTGGTGGTGGTGGTAAACCAAGAAAAGTGCCAGAGAAGGCGATTTCCCAAATCAAATGCAACTGTAATGATCTGTGTTGGAGAAAAGAATGAATCTGAAGTACAACAAGCACTATGGAGGAGATGCTCTCAAAAATGACTGGACAATTAATTAGCACATTTATCTTTTGTTGCTACCTGAACACAAAATAACATATTTGGTGGCCTCTCGATGAGAAAGAAATCAGCAAGAGAAGGCTTGGTAAAGGTAAGAATTTTGTGTAAGAGGAGATGGAAGTAAGAGAGAGGGAGAGAGTGATACGTGCCTCATCAAGCATCGAGATAAGCTTGGCTTTCTTCCTCTGGTACTCAAATTTATCTGCAGAAGACAAGGTAGTAGTGATGTCTGGTTTGGAGGAAGAAGAAGATGCAGCAGCTGAAGTGGAAGCACCACCACCACCACCGGCAGCGCCAGCGACACTAGGGTTAGCGTCAGGGTTGGAAAAGCCTCCTCCTCGTTGCCGGCCTACCCTAGTCGCCTTCGACTGGCCTCTCCCCACGCTGCAGAACTCCTCCAAGAGCTGCTGCGCCGCCCTGGCGTACTTGGAGTTCCTGAGCACGTTCACTGCGGCCATGGCGCCGTAGCCCATGTGCGCCGGCTCACCATGACCTTGCAAGTGTGATGTTGGATGCTGCTGCTGCTGCTGGTTGTTAAAGTACAGCATCCCTTCCCGGAGTTTTAGCTCATCAGCTTTGGCCATGTCAAACTGTTGCAGAGATGAAGACAACGACAAGGAGAGCCCTTTTCCTTCTACTGGCCCTCCACCAAAGGACGCCTCTCCTCCGAAGGACTGGGGATGGTGGTGGTGGTGGTGGTGGAGTGTGGGAGGAGCCGCTTGTGGAGGTGGAGAGGGAGACCTCGGTTGTGGCGGCGGCGGCGCTGGCTGTGGTGGATTCATCAGAAAAAGCTGCATCGCAGCAGCCGAGTCGGCGTTCAAGCCCATCAACGGATGTTGCTGGCCGCCATCATGGTGGTGCTTCGACGTCGATTCACCAATTGAGCTCAAACCGCTGTTACCTCCCAGTACCACTCCTTGACGGCCTCCGTACCAATCGGCCGGGAAGCTACCCACCGCTGTTGGCCTCGGCGGGAGGCGGTAGCCGCCGGATATCTGGCTAGCGAGCAGCTCGGTGGCCGACGGTGCTGCTGCCGAGAAATTGAACATGTCCGATAACATGTTGCTGGCTCCGACGCTAGCGGGCTCGTAGATGCCGGCCACCTCGCCTTCCTCATCGATCGGAACGAGAGGGTTACCAGCAGCGTCGAATCCTTGCACCCTTAGCTTATCTCTCCGGCTCTGTTGCGCGATGTGCTGCTGCTGCTCTTGGCTTATGGACCGGCCGAACCCATCGGAGAAGCTGAAGAGGCTTTGGTGGTAGCCTTGGGACATAGACGTAGGTGAAATATGCCCGGCGAGGGGTCTGTAGGCGGACTTGGGCGGGCTGAGGTAGGCGCAGGCGGGCTGAGATGGCTGCGTCGCTATTCCCATGCCGGTGTCTCTTTCTTCATCATCATGGAAGCCCAATTCACCCTATGTTAGCTGCAGATCAATATAAAGCAGTCACCCACCCATCTTGTTACGCGCAATAAAAGGAAGAAACATATAAAATATTTGGAGACTTGAAGAAAGCAGGGAAGGAATTCACACAGTTATTTATGATCTCTCTCTCTCTCTCTCTCTCTCTCTCTCTATTTTTTTTGTTCTTTTCTTTTCCTTTCCTTGTTGAGTCTTCTTTATTACAAGGTGGTGGTGTTTGTGTTTGGTGCTGAAGAGATATAGGTTGTTACCTATAAGTTGTTGTTGGGTGGAGATCAGGAGGAGAGCTTTAGACCCAGAAGACATCATTGTCTTCCTGTGAGACTGAAAGCTTCTTCTTCCACACCACCTCCAGCTTTGTCGCTCTTGTCCCCCTCCTCTCTCTCTCTCTCTCTCTCTCTCTCTCTCTCTCTTCCTTCGGCTCTGACTCTCCCTTCTCCAATCGCCTTCTGAAAGAGAAGATGGAGAGAGAGAGAGAGAGAGAAAGAAAATAGAAAATAGAATGGAGGCTGGTAGCAGACAGACGCAAGATAAAAGTCGGCTGTTCCGATCCTCTCCTCCTCTATGGACAACTCCTTATCTTTAACTCTTCCTATAAGAAAGAAGCAATAATTTGAGAGGGAGGCTTGTGAACGAGAAGAAATGAGGGAAAGAAGAAAGGAGAAAACAAAAAACAAAAGGAGGAGACCTCCTCTTTTCTTTTCCTCCCAATTGACTCCCACTTCAAATGGTAAATGACCACTTGAGCCTCCTTCTCCGTGCATGCTTCATGAAAACCCACCGATCTTCTCCAGTTGATTAATGCAACTGAAGTGGTTGGCGTGGCAACCCGCATGCCAGTCTTGAGATGAACTACCAAGACAAGCAGAATCTAATTACGGCTCTCTCCTCATGCATAGGGATCATGTCTGTAGGTAGAGTTGGGGGGGAGGAGGAGGAGCTATAGCAAGCAGTTAAATGCCTAAAGTTAGTCACCAGTTGGTACCAGGTTGAGATGCGTGAGGAAGCAGAGAGAGAGAGAGAGAGAGAGAGAGAGAGAGAGGGCAATTCCGCCATTGCTCTACCTGCATTTGAGGCCCAGTATAAAGGAGATAAGGTTGTGAGTACCAACCATAAAAGGGGGTTTGGCATATGGCCTAAAGATGATTTGAACTTGATGATGGCCGTGGCCATCGGATGGGCATCGGTCGGCCGGATTGAGGTGGTCCTGGCGCGACGGTGGCCGCGTATTCTGTCGGTGATCGCCTGTAACACAGGCCATGATCCAACACCGTGTTGACACACCATATTCTACAACTGTGATCTGGCCATCGCTACTGCACCAACTCTTTCTTCCTTGGATCGTTTCTCTCGCCAGTCCACATGAACAGTAGCAGTTCACTGAATCCATCTGCATCTACATCACATACAGTGAGTTCATCATCTCCACCAATCTCTTCGAGTGGAGCAATTCTTATACCTCCCAATCTGTAGCAACCAGATCTGACGATGGTCACAGTAGCATCAACTTGACAAAGAGGGGAGATGGCACCATATAACTGCTCAGATGTAGGAAATATATACCCCATTATTTTCTGCAGGTGAAATTTGGACCATAACTTCTCTACCAATCCTTCTCTCAATGCTTCAACTCTGTGCACACTTGTGATGCATAGCAAGTAGGAAATGAGACTGTGTGTGTGTGGATGTGTTCTCTCTCTCTCTCTCTCTCTTTCTCTGTTCCTCTTGTTTCTTAGTCTTATCTTTGTAATGAAAACACACACACATACACACACTCACCAATTAATCCATGAGAGGACCACCACAGCACTAGCCAACCCTCCCACCACCATCAACATCATCATCACATCCCTCTCAGCATCTCCTTAATCACATGCCAAAGGAGTGATGGTGTAGACTCTCCAAACCCCTTTTTTTCTCCTTCTGAGGAGCCCACATCTCCTGTTCATATTTAATTGCTAGCAAGGGAGTGGATGATGATTGTAGGTGCCCACTTCATGTAGCTTCTTTGTACAGTGCCAAAGTCCCCAACTGGCCTCACTTGCTCCTCATCTTCTCATTTATTTCTTAGAGAAAAAAATCTTCTATGTCTATCATCGTATCACTTCTCGTATGTACAAAACAATGGATGAAGAAACATACACGAAACTTCGACCACTACGATGTCCGTAGAGGACCAATGAAAGAATTATTTTTAGTGACTTAAAAATCAATCGCATTTCACTAGATTTATTTTATGATATAAAATAAGATTTGAGTTTTGTTGAAATTTTTTACCAACTAAGCTAGTCAGCACACTTGAAAATTAAGTCGATGTGTCGAAAGTTTTTCCTCATGCTTTTATTAAATATCTTATTAGAAATTATTTTAATGCTAACCTTCTATCAGGCTCTTTGACTCAGTATTTTTCTTAAAGCCTTCTATGTATGCTTAATGGAGCTTTGTATAATTAGGATGGTTTGCTAGAGAGATGAGGGTCATTTTCCACACTTTTTTTGAGGGGGGGGGGGTCTTGTTGGCTTGATCATAATTCCTAGAACACCTTAATTTTGGTCTGCTACCTCATAGCTGTTAGGAGAAAAGTTTAATTTCCCACATATATATATATATATATATATATATATATATATATATATATATATATATA